TCCTTGCACAGTTCATCTCACAGGAATATTAGAAGCTGTCCCATACTGAGTCCAGCCATAGGGACATCTGGGGAGTATTCTTGATACTGACCTACAGTGACTTTTCAGGTTTTCAGGCAAAATGCTTTCCTACCCCTTAATGAAGATGGTGAGGGATGAATGCAGAACCAACCATCTGCATGCAATACATGTGATCTATCACTAAGTTACAGTCCCTCCTTCATCATATACTTGGTTTTATGAAGTTCTAGTACTAATAGTCCAGACTTTTATTTTCAAACTTAAGATGCTCAAAACTCACAAAAGAAGTTTATATACCTTCCCTGTAATTTAAATTTTATGCTCGTTTTGCAACCAGCTTTTGTATAGCAGGCAACAGCAACTACTAACTATAGTGTTATTTAGTACATATCACATTATAAAATGAGGAAAGAGCAGGAAACATTAAACACAGATGCAACAGATCAGACCATGATCCAAAAGGCACAATATCCTGGGGTGCAATTTCTTCTGAAGTCTTCTTATCTACATCTGTTTCCAGGGAACCCTCAGAACTTTTTAGATCTCCACAGAGGGAGCTGCCAGAAAAGGATTACATTTCAATATACATTTATTTTTCATTTAGACAAAGGGTTATCTGCCATATTGTTGTGCAGTCATTCTGTTCTCTTGATACATGCTATTTATGAATTTGCTAAACAAAAAGCCCACATACAATTCCATCCCTCTCTACTTCCAAGAACTGTCAATTTGTTCCTGTACCTGCCCTTCACAGTCAAGGTGGAGAAAACATGTCCCTCCAGATAGTGGACTGAAACTCCCAACAACCCTAGCTCACATTGACAATAGAGAAGACTCACAGACATTGCAGATCAGTACCTGGAGGGATGCACTTTTTTGTGGAAAGAGCATCAGAACCTTTCTTGAAAGTTTACAAAGGACTCTCAGGAATTGTCAAATACTCTATTAAGCAAATAGATCAATCTTTTCTATATTAGGAGGGGGATAATACCCATTAAGAATCCTAAATGTAGAAATGAAATATTTCTTTTTGCAAAAACCAAGGAGTTCACCAATAAATACCAGGGGTCAAAATCTGTATTTCAGGTATCCCTTACCTTAAAAAAAACCCCTATGAAATCAAGCGTTGTCATAAAAGAAGAAATGTCCAGAAGGCACAAAGGCACACACAAGGTGCCTCCACCACAATAATGCATATAAAATGCAAATGATGCATTCTCTCATAACAAAGGTATATACCATCATGAAACCTGGCAACAAAACTGCTGCAGTGCCGAAATTACCTTCCCAGGGTTTCCATTATTCCATACCATTTAATTTCTCCCTCTATTCGTTTTCCAGAACCATCACTGTGCATTGGTTTCAGCATTGGGACGATAATTCTGGAGACCAGGGCTTGAATCCCAGCTCTACCATGGAAACCCATGGCATAGCCTTGAGGCAAGTTACTCCACAGAGGAAGGCAAGAGCAAATTTCCTCCATAAACAAACCTTGCCAAGAAAACCCTACATTGGAAAAGAACTTAAAAGGACACAACAACAAAAATTTACTGTCTGCCAACATTCCATTAGCACATCATGCCTAACCAATATGCTGTCTCCCCAAGCCTCAATGGGACTGCTCGGCACAATAATGCTCAATTTCATGTACCTCACAACCTTGATTTCTCCTTTGATGTCAATGGACAACTGTTGCTGCCATTTCAAAAAAATAAAAATAACAATGACTTCTCTTTGTGAATCGGGAAGTGATTAAAAATGGCTCTTTCAACACTTCATAGATCAATATCTCTCCCTCTTCTTCCTTTACACACATTCTATTCTGTTCTCACGGTCCATCCCAGTTTCACCCATTCAACATTCTTTGCCAGTGAGTTCATAAAGGACTGTATAGTGCCCCCCCCCCCACATCCTCAAAAATGTTGTTTGAGCTTCCGTGACACTCATGAGTCCCCAAATTTTACCACTATCTCTCCCTGTACACCATGGTACAATGGAAAATCTTGAGAAACAAATAAGGCAATGTAAAAAATGCTGCCATATAAATTGATGGGCATAGCATGATTTATCTTGGACCATTTCCAGACAAACTGAAACCTTGGATTTCTCCACAGATGTCTATAGGAATATCTTATTTCTATTCCATGGGATGTTTAAATGTAGCCACTCATGTAGCATGGACAAGGAAACAACTTAACACAATGAAATAGTTTTCCAGCCATATTTTACCAGTGACACAGCTACTGAGACTGAAAATTCAATTTTCCAATCTATAACACAATAACACTCCCATTTTGGATATGCATCCACAATCTTTTAACTACTGACCTAGTTTGGATCTCCCCATTTTAAAATAGTGTATTATTTTTGCCTTGTAAACCGCCTCGAGTCGCCGGAAGGCTGAGAGGGGCAGTATACAAATACAGTAAATAAATATTTTTTTGTAAAATAAATGACTTACTGCTTTTGATTATATGCACTGGTTCAAAGTTCTGGATTCTTGAAACTAGCAAGTTTGATGGTGTCCAATCACTTTCTTGATACATCCTACTAATTGGAGAATTTAAAAACACAAACACGAAACCCCCAATCTGCAGGTTTTTTAGCATGAGGTCTACTTTCTGGCTAAAAAGTGGATACCAAACTAATTAAAATCTTAGATTTATTTTCATTTTTCTCAGTGGCAGATGGAACCAATCAGCCACAATGAAATCTCTGATGACAAACAACTGAATTAACAATCAGCCTCCAATACTTCTTTTCTGGCCAAGATACTGGAGCATGTGGTGGCCTCCCAGCTACATGGACTCCTAAATGAGATGGCTGTCTCCCAAATATATGGATTCCTTGGTAAGATGGATTATCTGAATCAATTTAAATCTGGTTTCAGGCCTAGTTATAGAACAGAAACAGCTTTTGTTGTCTTAGTAGATGACCTTCACTCAGAAAGAGAGGGCAAGTGTGAACCTGTTGGTTGTGGTGGACTTTCTCCGCTGTTTTTGATACCATCAACCACAGCAATCTTCTGGGCTACCTTGCTGGCACTCTTTTATAATGGCTCCATTCTTTTCTATAAGAGTGAACCCAAAAGGTGCCAGCAACGATGGAATGGACAAATTGTACACAAAAGACAGGGTTATTTCTGGTGACTCAAAAGGCTGGTCAGGAAACAGATTCAGCCTGAGCTGGATGGTGTCAAGCTCCAGCTGAAGATATAGGCTCACAGTTTGGATGTACTCCTGAATTCAGAACAGTTAAAGCTAGTGTGCCAACCATACATGTTTCCTGGATGTCTGACTTGGCCATGGTGATATATGCCTTGATTGCAATTTGTCTGAATTACTATAATATACTAAATATCAGACTACCTTTGAAGAATGTTCAGAAACTTTAGCTGGTCCAGTCAGATTGTTGCCTATAGTGAGCACATAACTTCCTTGTTGTGAAAACTCTGATGGCTCTGAGAATATTTCCAGGCAAAATTTGAAGAATTGGTTATGACCCAATATGGTAACATAGCTGAGGGGTATAGTTTCTCCTCCACATAAACAAAATGTGATGTTATAGTTTTAAGTTCCATTTATTGGGAGGAAGCATCACCAAGGAGAAAGAAAGATCACAAGAGAAACTGCTCAATGAAGATGACAAGTTTAGTGAGAAATGTGGAAGCTGCATCATGCTTCCAAGTGAGAGATTATAAAACTTTAGGGTGCCAAGAGGTAAAGAGAAAGACAAAGTTCAGTCACTAACAGATACTTTTGAGACTGATGAAGAAGTGCAGAGTGCTGCCTGCCTCACCTTCCCTAGGGAAGTTTGGCTGTAGGCTGGGCAAAGGAATCCCGACTACCAGCTTCCATGGACATCCAAGATCTAGAACATCTTCTGTCTCATTCATATAAGATTCTCATCCCTCATGGTAAAAGGAATAAAAGTCTCTGCAGATTCAAAGGTGAAAAACTGCAAGTGAAACCTCTCAGTAACTCCCACAAGGTTGCTGAGTCATATGGAATAAAATAGTGGTGATGGCATCTACACAGGTTTTAAGGAATCCCGTTCTACTCAAGAGCAGGAGACAGGCCAAAGCCCCATTACACATATAAAGCCTTACAAGACTCATGACAAAGCTATTTGGAGAACACTGGAAGAATTTAGAAAATCTCTTGAATATACCTTTTCCAACTTAGTATTTAGCTGCATTAATGTCTTCAGTCATGGATTATGTGGTTTTCTCGCCAGGCCAGGATGTTGGAAGAAATGCTATTCTCTAAGCAAAACTCTTTTTCTTTTCTTTTTTTTAAAGATAGCCCATATTCTGGTCTGGGACTACTTCCCATTTCACCACACATACTGTTTCCTTGTCCAGTCATTGTTTGAAGACTAAGAGAAATCTATATTTTTCCTGTAATCCAAAATAGATGGCAAACAGACATTCTGGAACCAATTCTGATAAATTAAGACCAGTTTGCAGAGTAAATATGGGGTTTATACCATTAAATATATAATACTGATATTGTACTATGCTAATAATATATATAGTGTGTGTGTGTGTGTGTGTGTGTGTGTGTGTGTGTGTGTGTGTGTATCTTCTAAGCTGCTCTGAGTCCCCTTCGGGGTGAGAAGGGCAGCATATAAATGTCGCAAATAAATAAATAAATAAACTGAGGTTACTATTCAAAACTGTAGGATGACATTCTCACAAGACTAGCTAACTGAACTTCAACTATCCAGTTACTGGGAGGTATCCTGAAATATACTTTAAATGAAATCTATTTAGTAATCTTGTTGTACACATCAGTAAACTTGAACAGTAAAAATACATTAAAACGAAGACAGATGTCTCAAGAGGGAAAGTAAACCTATGCAAAGTGGTGTTCAAGATCCTTTGGAACCTTACAGATCTACTTTAAATGACAGACATAAAAAACAGGGTTAGATTAGAAATTGATTTAGGATCAGGTTCTGCTTCGGAGGGTTCTTACCTTGGTATTGTAACACATTTTGTATTGCAGTTCTGAGTGGTGATTGCTTTTTCAAGCTCATCCAGTTGTCCTGTCTTCTTCAGCTTCTTAACCAAGCTTTTCACAGCTTTCTCACACCATTTTTCTTCCTGGCCATTCTGTTCACCGCCACCAGCACCTCCGGTACCTCCAGCAGACTTCTTCCACCCTAACAGTCTCTTCACAACAGGTGGGGTAAATGGCAATATAGATGACATGACCCAAGTGTAGTACAACGTATGCAGTGAGCTGTCTTTACAACCTATAGAAAAGAAATCCAATGAGAAAGGTTAAGAGAAACATTTTACCTTGAACTTTTTTCGCCTACACAACACTGAAACTTCTCATAAACCAATCAAAAGCCTTGAAAAGTCTAATGACTTTTTGACTGGATGATGTAGTAGATATTGACTACAACATCATCTACTATATTGTAGTCACACTAACTAGAATGAAAATGAAACATGAATTGTCTGAGATCCCACATCAAGCAAACTGAGAGTAACCTCTCATTTATAGAGGCATGTAATGAATATCTGCAGTAGTATGTAAACGACTGTGCAAACAAATGTGAAATTCATGATTGCAATGCATACCTGAAATGTTCATGACACCACACCAAAGTCACAATGGCACTGCATGCCCTTTTGCAACCAACAACTGAAAACCTACTTCCTTGCCAAAGAGGCTGGACAATGTCCAACCACTTCTGTAAGAGAACTTACAGTATAAATCACCAAAGTAAAAGTTACCCTTGTATTCGGAATTGTTTTACATAAGACAGGTTCCTGACAGAGAAGAAATTGTTTTGGACTAACAAAACCACCACAGCCTGGGGGGAGAGTCTTCTTTAGAAACTCTAGAAAGGAGCTTACACTTCAAGAATTTACCACTACACACTATATCGAGACTACTAGCACAATGGAGAATGCATACTGTTAATAATGTGTCATTTGCTGCCAATAAACTGATAGCAAACAGGTTGTAGAAAACATATGCAAGAGTAGATTGATTCTTCAGTGTAGAATACCTACATACAAAAATTATTAGTTTCCATTTATCCAGCTGTTGTAGCATAGCTGCAATCAAACATGAAGCAATGTCAGTCCATCTAATTGTCATGGGACCTTTTCCCTGGTTATGTTCACAAAACACCTGAATGGTTTGCTATACTTTAGTAACACCTGTAAACTACTTTCCAACATATAGGCAGGGTATAAATAAAAGTAAATAAAGAAATACTGCATTTTCTAGTGTATAAGACTACTTTTTAACCCAAGAAAATCTTCTCAAAAGTCGGGGGTCATCTTATACGCTGAGTGTCATCTTATAGGGCGGGTGCTGAAACTTCCGACCCAGACTGCAGAATCTGTGGTCACCGCATATGGTGGAGGGAGCTCAAAAACAGCAACAGCCAAATCCCTGCCGTATGTGGTGACTGTAGGAAAGCAGGAAGGCTGGTGTTGTACAAGTACGGTAGAAGAAAATCCACTCATCAGGGTTAGTGGAAAGAAGTGACAACACGGTCCTGATGACAAGGTGAGGGGGTGCCTCACCAGGAAGGTGTAATTGAAGGGCGGAGCAATTTGCAGGCGTCCGGGATGCCCGAGGTATGGAAAAATGAGATAGAGCGGTGCTGTGTCTAGAAAAACACGGCTCTTTCACCCATCTGGCCCACCCCTTGTATTCTATTACTGTACCTCCTTCTCTGCCTCTCAGGTCTCGCTCCTGAGGACTGCAGTGAAACGGTCCAGGTGCACATGTGTGAGATCTGAGAGGCAGGGAAGAAGGTACGGTAATAGGAAAATTACCATATTGAAATCAAATCCGATTTTTTTTTAAAAAAAACAACTTTATTTGGTGTGAGTTGGAAGAGGGGTAGTCTTATAAGGTGAGTATATCCCAAACTGGAAAAGTTGGGGTCATCTTATATGCCGAAAAATACGGTACTAAAACACAAAAGACCTCAATATCCACAGTCACTGCTGATCCCATTTGGCATTAGACACAACAAGTAAGTCCATGTGGTGAAGTGGTTTGAATGAAAATTGTAGGCTATTTTACTTTTAATGTTTATATAAAAGAAAATTAAACCAGCAGTTGCATGCTGCCTAGTTTCATGGCAAACACCTGCTGAAATGCCCTCTTCTACATAACCTATAAAAGGTCCAAGAGCCCTCTTTAGTTTTTGATCTGGCAACCCTACATTGGTTAGACAATAATAGGCGAGGTTTTTCTATTACAGTAACATATTTTATGCAATGGCTTGTTGTTTCAAGGATCTAGCACTATGATTTGCCACACTGTCTATCACAATGCTAGACTTCTAATGCTCCTAGGAAAGACAAAGAGTATAATGCATGTCAAAAGAAAATTAAAATTTAAGATTCACCTAAACTATCAATCAAGTTTCATCATCAAGAAAGCAGTATCTTTTCATTCACTGCATGGTGGTTACATTGAGGATCACATATATTACTTGTCATTTTAGTTTAGCCTCATTTAGGAGTTTGTATTGCCTGGTAATTGTTCATATCTTTACTGTCTTAAGGATGTGAATATTAGTAAGAACATGAAAAACAGGACATGTTTCATTTTCCCAGTATTTCCTAAGGCTTAAACAAGAGAGAAGTTGACTGATACTATCAACTTTGCCACATATTAAGTTAACATAAAGGCTTCGTATCGCAATCAAGCAATAACTCCCACATGTGGAAGAGCCAAGACAAAAGCTGCCTCCCAGTCTGCCCTAGACTTAATGTTTTTTAGTGAAACAAGGCAGTTCTTACAACAGAGGCAGGAAAGAGATAGAGTTCTCCTACAATCAGCATTTTTAGGACAAGAGCATTTTCCACCCCTCACACCCAAGGTTCAGTTTTAAAGAGGCCTGAAAACAAAATCTTCAGTCTTTTTTCAAACTTCTACCTTTGTGCTCAGGGCACAATTATTCTGTTCAATCTTATGGCAACTAAATGTGAAGATAGGATGAGAGAGGAACTATCCAAAGTCACCCAACCAGCTTCATGTTCCAGGAGAAATTGAATCCAGACTCTTCTCTGTTAAATTCAACACGAATCTGCTATCTCACTTTGTTTTTACATAAAACCAAATCTTAACCCATGAAGATACTGGTATCTGGAAGGCTACCTAAGGAAGCTATTCCTACTCCAAGCATGACAGCAAGGCCTAACATCCGAAATGAGGGTGGATAACTCTGTATCAAAAAAAGACAACCATCTCATTGGATTGCAGTTACTATAAGCCCTAGATGGCATAGCCCATGACAAAATATGACGGCAGTTTTGCTAAGAAGAGACAGAGCTCTCCTGACATAAATGCTAGTGGAACACAAAGACTCCCCCCTCCAGCTGTGAGGAGCCAACAGTATGTCTCCAGTGAACCACAATGTGATGCACAGCTGCAAAAAATTAACAGTTGGGTTAGCAAGTGTTTATTCCAGGCTTTTCTGGCATTGTATCCAAGATGTAAGCATTCTGCTCAACATATGTGAAAGTTAAAAGCTAAAGCCTTCCAGGGGAGTCAGATCATTCAAACGTATCTTTATATACTACATAGCACTTGAGGTACTTCATTGAGTAAGGATAATTATCTTTCACCTTTCAATTGCTAGTTTTAGTTCTGACTTAGGTTGTAAGCCACATTAGATCCCATACTGTATGAAAGATGGGATATAAATAAAATAAATGAGTAAACACAGTTGTTCATGGTCAGAAACAATTTCAAAATGCCTAGAAACCAGTACAGAATGTTTAGGGATATGCAATTTTCTCCAGTTTATGAGGAATAAGGTATGGAGTCGGTTAGGAAATCTCTGTCTGAAGGGGATTGGGTTAGCAAGCAAAGGCCTTTTGTCCCCTCACAATGTTTAAAATTGAAAATGTTAAAGTAATATTATTAAATTAAAAATAAAAATTGAAATTAAATTAACTGTACTTTTTAACCGATTTTGCAACACAGTGGTCCCATGTTGGAGGAAAAGTGAAATAAATATATTCTTGAAACTGCCTAATTTATTTATTTATTTCCAGCATTTATATTCCGCACTCCTCACCCCGAAGAGGACTCAGATGAGATCACAGAAGACATATATGGCAAACACTCAATGCGTTATACACTGACAAGACAGACAACTGTACATAGAGGTATATATAGGTTTTCCTGACTTCTGCATTTTGGAGGCTGTGCTCAGTTCCAACCACCGGGGGAAGGGGCATGCTGTCACTCCATTTTCCCTGCCAAAGAGCTTTTTGTTCATAAACTTCCTCCTTGAGCGAATCACCAACATTTTTCTGGCATTTCATTATGGGTGCCTTAAATACCTCCCTCGCTTTAAGTGGTACCTATTTATCTATTTATGGTACCTATTGAGTCTCCCTCCTGGGGTTGAGAAGGGTGGGGTACAAATGTTTGAAATAATAAACAAATCTACTCACTTTGCTGCTTTTGAAACTGCTAGGTATGCAAAAGCTGGGCTAAAGGGCAGGAGCTCACCCTGACCCGGACTTTGAACTGTCAACCTTTAGGTTGGCAAGATTTACTGCAGCTGGTGCTTAACCTGCTCTGCCAAAGTCGATTTTTACACTTTTCCTCTTTTTGATCAAAATTTCAAACTGGACATCACTTCTACATTTGCTGTGACTGGGGGTTACATTAGAAAATTATGACACTTTCTGAATCCCACCTCCCTAAAAAGAGGAAGTTGCCTTTTATTCATATTTTTGTATGTCTATTTGGCCTACAAAAATGGATGATAAGGGGGTTTAGAGGACAGGTCTTTCCCTCAATCCCGGACTAAGTACAGGGAGGCCAAAGAATATTAGTTGTATGGCAGATCTGCTTGGGAGTAATATCCAGAATGAAACACATCCTGTTATATCTCGGAAGTTTAGGAGGGTTATTCCTGGTTAGTACTTGGATGAAAACCACCAACAAATACAAGGTATTATAGGCAATGTTTCAGTGGAAGGTTATCAGATTAGGGATATGTGAATGATGGAGCAACTCCATTGTTATGTTTCTTCAAAAAGTAGATGAATTAGGGTGTTATATATGTGTGTGTGTGTGTGTGTACTCCATTTCACTGTAGGTTTTTTTAACTGCATTTTTCCTAGTTTTACACTACAGGCCTTTAGGACAAAATCATCTTCACATTGTGCAATGTATTACTGACTGCAGCTCCTAAGGGAGAGGATGGCCTATAAAAGAAAATAAATAGTTAATTGATATCATTCAACATGGCTT